TAAATATAATAGTACTGTCTGTAGTCTGAATCTATATAGATATAATAATACTGTCTGTAGTATGTAATCTATATAAATATAAAAGTACTGTCTATAGTCTGAATGTATATAAATATAATAGTACTGTCTGTAGTCTGAATCTATATAAATATAATAGCACTGTCTGTTGTCTGTTAGCTATATAAATATAATAATACTGTGTTTTGTGTGTCCATATAACTACTTCGCAGGGTGTAGATAGATCTTCAACAAAATTGGTATGGAGGTTCATTAGGTCCATGCGGGGGTACATAAAAATTTTCAGTCTTTATGGGCGCTTTTGCGTTTTCTTACCACTTCTTTGCCCCTGTAGATGGATCTTCACCAAATTTGGTATGGAGGTTCAATAGGTCCATGTGGTGGTACATACAAATTTTTAGTTTTGCATTTTGTGTTTTGCGCACCCTGTAGATGGATCTTCACCAGATTTGGCATAAAGGTTTATTAGGTCCATGCGGAGATACATGAAAATTTGCTGTTTCACATTTTGCGTTTTGCAGTTTTTTATGGGCGTTTTTTACAATCACATATAAGGGAAGCAACTTCATAACTTTTTCATAAATCATGAATATACATAACTTCCGTCCAGGAGACGGGTACTCCAGCTAGTTACTAATAATTTACACTGAGCATGCTTACTGAGGGAACGATTATGATTACTTTATTACTTTATTAGAATAATTTTTTGACTTGAACGTAGCTCTATTACAATATGCCTGTTTTATAATATCAATATTTCGTGCATGGCGTAACAATAAGAAATTATACTATCAGTTTGTAGTTCACATTGCCATAAGCTATACGACACCTATTCAGAAACATACCAGTATTTGAAAACCTACCCCTTTTTTTGTTAGAAATTAAGTATTAATTTATCATATAGACAACGCGAGATAGTCCTTGGATTTTAACATTACTTATATAACACTTTAACAACGTTTGGATAACATTATCCATTAGCCTAAACTAAAACTGGACACAAATAAATAACCAAAAGTTATTCCCATAAAATTATTATCGCATACATCAATTTTTCGTAACAACCCACCCATCCCGGAAAAGGTGTATTGCTCGCACATACTCTTCCCCCCCAGCCTTGTGCAACGTTAAGTGCATTTAGCACACAATTAATTTTACATATTTGCTCCCTATACTTAAATGATGGGTAAAATGTTTTCATGACATAAAATATTATACAGATGGTATATATAATAGCCGTCCCATGGTAAACGACTGTGTATGTTTCAAAGAAAAAAAAACTTACTTTACGTTTATGGAAAGACTCTGAATTTCTGCGCAAATGAAAAGCAAAACATTCTTGGTTAGACCACGCTTGTTGAATTAACAGTGGGTAGTCCTTTTGGTGAAGTTTTCTTTCATCTAACAGAAATAAAAAAGAGAGAGAAGAAGAAAATTATTATTTATTTTTTGAATAAATTATTGTTAAGATATTATCTGTATTTTGTACTTATGGCAAAGCTGCTGTCCCTACATTTGAACTAATAACCAGAAGGAAAGCAGCCAGTCAACAGTATTCTATTAAGATATTATCTGTATTTTGTACTTATGGCAAAGCTGCCGTCCCTACATTTGAACTAATAACCAGAAGGAAAGCAGCCAGTCAACAGTATTCTATTAAGATATTATCCGTAATTTTGTACTTATGGCAAAGCT